TTTTTTGAGTATATATCACTATTTTATGTGGATATTTCGCCTTGTCGCATATTTTGCAATTCTTGGCCAAGTTCCATCATTTTATAACATTTTGTACTCAGGAACGCGTTCTTTATCGGCGAAATCCTTGAAATTGATTCGAATGAAGGTTAGGTAGAAGATGAGCACTCGTTGTCATTTCTTGCAGAGTTGAACATTTTGATGAATTTCCCTTCAGAACGTCTTGTGTTTTTCTGGAATGAATCCGCAACAACATTTTAAACGAAGATTTGGTTCAAGGTGAACTGTTTTATTTTTTATACTTCTATACATATTCTGTATTCATATTCTGTTCTATACATATTCTGTACTGCTTATTGTTCTTTTGTTATCAAGTGTTCTGTTTTTGTGTAGATTGTCTTCATAATCTCCCTTTGCAGTTTCTTTTTGTACCATGTATTCTAACTAAGTATTCAATTGTTCTGCTTTCTTACATTTAGTTGCATATTGTTTACTTGTATAGTGTGGTATGCTGTACTAATCATGTGTGTTTGTCAACGATAAATATTTTATTAATCTCTGTGCAGGCTTGAAGCAATCGTTTTCCGTTTCAGAGAAGTCTTATGTAATGAAGATCTTGTAGTGAATTCGGGAATGGGAAGAAACGCATGAGACTGAGGAACGACGCTTCAACCACCGCGAACAAAGCAAAAATGAGAATGCAGGGCTTTTTTAGTCGACTTGTTGATTTCTCCGTTACGAAACGTGACATTTTCTGGCGGTAAGCTTTTATTTCTTTGTGGAAACGCATTTCGAAAGCGTTGCTCAGAACGCAAGGTAATGATTGGTAATTTCACCTCTGCTCACTCTTGCATCAGTTCGCATATTTTCTTTCCGTTCTCGGTCCCTGGCTCGCAGCCGCCTTCCTTCGTCAGGGTGCTGAATTTGCGAAGCTCTTCTTGTTGGTGTTCCACTTCTTCACTTCCAAGGACACCGAGTTTGCTGGAATTGAAGTAGTCTTGAATTTTGTGCAAATATGTGACTACCTGTTGAAAGCCTCTGCCAGATTCTTCGATCGCAGTTCATCGACACCCCACTTAGACCATAGAGCTTTATAAACCCCTCTTAGCCACGTTTGCTTGAGATACTTTGTGAAATTCAAACGCTTTACGTGAGCTTCATGTCCCTCTTCCACTGGAGAAGCTTATAGTGCCCTCACTTGTCGGCGCAATCGAGGAGAGACAAACACCGCGACCTTTACAGTCTGCCACCATTTTTCTATGCTTTCATAGGCTTTCCCTTTCGATATACGCCGAAAGCCACAAGTAATGGGCGCGCCCCTCACCGAATGCATGATAGCTCATTGGCTCCAAGGCA